CCATTTGAATTTCCTTAGTTGGCAAGCTGTTAACAAGAATAGAGACTGAAACAGTCGAGATGCAAGCTGAAATCCAAGAGCGCCATTTAACACCAAAACCCATCATTCTCATCACCAGATCAAGAAAATCCCAAGAAACATTTTCAAACGCTTTCTCAAAATCCACTTTAAACAATAGTCCACCTCGCCTATATTTCCACATAATTGGCAATGAAAGCGCAGGCCAAGAGTCTACCACTTATAAAGGCAAATTGGTTAATGCCCACAAACTTATCTATACTTTTCCATGATGCTGCAGTGGGTGGTTTCATCAGATGTGGTGTTTTGGCTGTGCTTGGTTTTCGCTTTTAGGTAGGTGGTGCTTTTCATGTCCCTGTGTATTTTATCATGAGGGTGTCTGCAGAGTCTGGTTCATTGGGGCTGTTTTTTTGCTTATGTCAGAAGTGATTCTTTTGGTCTTTTGGGTTGTTATGTGATGAGAGTGGGACGTTGATCTTTTGGTCTGGAATTGTTTGTTTCAGCTGGTTAGTCTCTGTTGATCTTATTGCAACCTGAGCTTGTGTACATTTGCTCTTCTCTGCTTATGGCTTAAGCAGAGTTCCTGCCTTAATGGGCAGCTTTTGTAAAGCCTCTTGCTAATGAAATTATATCTTCAACTTTCAAAAAAAAAAAACACTTCGCAATCTCGCCTTGAGATGATTTTATGAAAACAACCCACGAGGCTTATTAGCCGGTAATCGTTAAGTGCATTTCGAAACTAGGGTGATAAGGGATGTATTAGCCCTTTTTCAAAGGAACTGGTATTTTGGAAGTCAGAAACAAAGTTCTTCACCTCCTTCTTGATGGTTCACCACTACCTTTCGAGGAAACCAAAATTGAAACCACCTGGTCCAAGTGTTTTATTCCTGTCACAACAGTTAATTGTTTCGTCAAATTTCCAATTCAGAAAATTGCATTTCTAAAGTAGTGGCAAAATGCTGATCAATCTTCAAGAGACCACAGTTGAGTTCTTTAAGGCATGAAGCAGTTTTATAACCATATAACATTTTGAAGTGATTAACAATTTCCTCCATAATGTCCTTCAGATTATCAATCACATGGCCTTGTGCAATGATTTTGCCAATGAAGTTAGCTCTGTGTCTAGTTGAGGCGACGTTGTGGAAGTAGCGTGTGTTACGATCACCCTCTAAATACCATCTCACACGGGACTTTTGATGCAAAGCTCTTTTGTTAGCTCGAAGAAGTTGCCATAGTTCTTTCTTAAGCCCTCTGAAAGTGTTCCATTTTTGTTGCATTTCCTCCGAAAGTTGCTAGATTTCAAGGTTAAGCTTCTTGATTCTGTCAGGAAAACTCCCAAAGGTCTCATGATACCATTTTTTAATGTGTTGTTTAGTACCCCTCAACCTATCCCAAATGGAAGCATGTTGATAACCGGAATTTTCAGTTTCTTTCCACACACTCAAACATAGCATTAAAACCAGGATCCTCTAACTAGTGATTATAGAATCTAAAAGGTTTAGGACTGTAATTACTATAATCCATACAAATCATAAGAAAATTATGGTCCGAGATAGAAGCTGGGAGACAGTTCTGAACCAGATTAAGGAATAATTTCAAGATTTCCACTGCAATTAAAAATCGGTCTAATCTACTGAAAGTGACATTTTCCCTTAAATTGCACCACGTAAAATTGCCCCCTACCATAGGTAAATCCTTAAGGCCAGTTTCTTCAATGAAATTGCCAAATTGAACAATTGATCTGTCAATACTGTTACACCTAATGCACTCTTCCATATTTTTGATGGCATTAAAATTGCCCTTTATGCACCAAATGACGTCCCAAGTTCGTAAGGCAATAAAGATTTTTTCTCAGAAGGCAGCTCTTTCTCCCTCATCATTGGGAGCCTAAACATGACCGAAATTGTAAGTTTCGATCATCCCTTGCAGTTTGTCCACAACAAAAATGAATTTCCTATTAACAACAAAGTGTTCAATTTTTTAAAAAATTCTAAAACTAGATAGAGATCAATCCGCTAAAGGCACCCACTGAATCTGTAGCTAACCATTTACATTCATCTCTTCCCCACAGTTGCCCCACTATTTTGTCATTAACATTATGAAGCTTAGTTTCCTGCAAAAGTAACAACTTTGGCTGGTGCCTTAAAGAAAGGCTCTTCACTACTCTCTTTTTTTTAGGCCTACCAAGGCCACTAACATTCCAAGTAATGGCAGACATGATGGAGAAAAATTGCAAAAATACATGCAGATAAGGTTGATGACATACCTCCCAATGTCGTACATAAGTAGAGGGAAAGCTCAGTTATCGTGTGCCTTCTCCTCCAAGGTCACAAAAGCATTGATCATCTCGTTGTTAAAATGTTCAAAGACCATCCCTACCTCTTTGCCAGCATCCATTGTTGCAACAGCCTCCTTAATAATAGTCACGTTATGCCTAGCCATGTCACTGTTTGTAAACAGCTCATTTATCACTTCCAATTGCTGAGTCACTTCTCTAGAGTAGAATTGATAACAGTTCGACCTCCCCTTCTACCCGAACCATGTTGAGCTATAGAGCCAGCTTTGTTCTAACTAGTTTGGCGCACTGCAATTGGCTCAGTTTCACTCATTTCTGCTTCCTCCCACGAGTTAGGAGCTTTATTTTCATGTGCTAGATTCCTCAGCTGGAAATTTTCAAGGCCATCAACTTCTTCAAAGGTATCCCGTACCATCACAAGACTCTCCATAGATAAATCAAAACCCACAACCATAGGAACTGGGGGGCTTCTTTTAATCTTTGAGTCAAGCTTTCGATTAAGAACTCAGAAGCATATTCCACAGCAACTTCAACACACGCACTGCTCGACGCTTTATCCTTACTTTTGGCCTTTTGATTTCCAGATGTTTTCACTTGAACAAGGCTGAAAGAAGGTCTTTCCATATCAAAGATTGCGCTGGGTTCTTCCACACGATCCAATCCTTCCCTGGGAATTTGCATTAGCACGTCAGACCCATTTGGAAGAGACCTAAGGTTACCAGAATCACCTTTAATTAGATCAAAGGATGGTGGCCCAAGGCGATGGTGAAGGTCCTTGTGAAATGGTGATGAGCTTTTACATATCCTAACCAGTGAAATGGATCTCAAATGGTCGAGGCTCACTATGGGCTCTAACAACATCCAAGCTTTCTTTCCTAGCCAACTGTGCCTTGAAATTTGAATCATCCTGCTCACAAAGTCTAACAAGATTTGGCATCTTGGGGATTGAGCTAGAACCTTTACTGCCACCCTTCACAATGGCGTCGGCAAGGTCCACAGTTGAGGGAGTAGAGATGTTAGTGGAAGATTCGACATTTTCCACAGATGACTCAAGGTCTTGATTAGTTATCTGGAGCCTCAACATCACTCGATAACCATTGATGGACAGCTCTTTCCATTCGGGAATCAATTGCCATTCCTCGAGCATAATGAGCACTTTGGCAAAATCGAATCTTTGTAAGGAACATGTGACATTGTTAACTTTGATAACCTTGCCCCACAAACTCCCAATCTTTTTGAATGTTTTTTCACAATAGAGATGCAAAGGAAGATTTTCAATAAAAATCCAAGTGGGACAAAATCCTTTTTCTATTGCGGTGCAATAAAGCGTGACAGAGATAAACTAGGCAGCTAAAAACTTCCAAGGATGATTTTCATTTCCTCAATATCAAGAAAAGGGATGAGAACTTTAAGAAATCCAAGGGGCGAATAATAACGAGAATGCCTTCTTGGATGAGTTTGGACTGGATTGATTTGAGAGAGAATGCCCTTTCATACAAGCAGTGGCACTCATATTAGTCCACTGAACATCATTATCATCAATATCAACACTGATGTCAATGAATTCGCTAATCTTTTTGAGGGGCCATTAATCAACTGACTTGGAATCTACTACGGCCTTGTGGTTCGCTCAGAACTATAAAACAGGGCTTCTTTGAACGTCTTTTTTCCTTTTTCCGCCAACCTCTGTTTTAGTTACTTGTGGTCTTACCTTCGTTTCTTTAGATAAAGGCCCTGTTCACAACAATTCGACGACCATCGAGCACCATATCAGAACTATCCGATATGGTTTTCCTCATTTCTTCTGGTGAGTGGTAGCGCACAAAGGCAAAGACTGGCCTGTTGGATGGCTTGTTGGCTTGACAAGCATTCCATAAGAAAGAATCAACAACCACTCCAAATTTTTGAAAGTTATCAATCAGTTGTCTCCAAGTGGTTTTCGAGCTTAGATTACCAGCATAAACCGAAAAGAGTCTACTTTTCCACTGCTTGATAAGCTCGCCGTTGGCCTAACCACCAAACCTCTGAAGCCTCCAACCACTGGAAGCTGCTACTGGGTGTGTACGCTTCTCCCTTGTGTACCTCATTGACTAAATTTCTTTTTTACCCTCGATGATGACAAAAGATACAATTTTGATATCCTTGATACTTAAAATTTACAACATACATGCTAAAATATATTAGTTATTCTGAATAAAAAATGATATATTGATAAAATTCTAAGCAATAATGCAATACTGTAACTTATATTTAAAAATTACATAATAATTTATCTATTTTTAAATATTAAAATTATAAAAAATAAAATCCACATAATAAAAAAAAGAACATGACAAGTAAAACATACAATCCACATATGACATAATAAAAAAGAAAAAAAAAGAATATGATTGATGGTTCGTAAAAATTTGTGAAAGAAAATCAATGGAGATTTAAAACATATGAGTAAATAGAATAAAAATAAATAAATAAAATTAATAATAATATAAATTGAAAGAAAAAATAAAAAAAACTTTAAAATTGAGTTAAACATATGAAATTATTTTTTATTCTTTATTTCTATTAATTATTAAATAAAAATTTACTTTAGGGAGGCTATTAAGAAAATTTTAAAAAAAATTAGAAAAATTTATATAGTATGTAAAATTTTTTTTAAATTTTGGCCCTCCCATCCCATAAGGAAGTTGCGCCCTTAGTAGCTAGCTAACTTTTGTTCAGGTGGTCAAAGGTAGAGAAAAAAAATTAAAAATTTAAAAAATTAATATATTAAATTTAACCAATAATGAAAATATTGATAATAGAAAATACTTTTATATAACATGTAAATGGAGAAAAGAAAAACTTACAATAGTTTTTTAGGAAAGTTGTGTTAAATTTAAATTCATCAATTATTTTTTATGTAATGAAAAACATCCATTCTTTTAATATATGAGTTTTTGATGTTTTGATTCACATTGTTCTTGTTCATGAGCTAAAGCATTGAGACTTGGTAGCTTAAATATAAGAGAAGCATTTGGATGATTTAAAGAATTTGTTAACTATTTTCCACTTACTCATATTTTAATCAAACTCGAAAAAAAAATTAATGCACTCAACATCCAATATTCTTATTTTATTTTTGTTTAAACTTATAATACTAAATATAAAACTATAACGTATAAAATATAATTAGTTAAATACAATTTCCAGAATTAATAATTTTCTCTTATATGATTAGGATTATTTAAAGATAATATATTTAAGATAATTTTCTTTCAACTAAATATAAAATGTAAACCACATAAAAAAGATGTATTCAAGATAATTTCTCTTACATAATCAGGATTAATAAAAAAATAATACACTGATGAAAATTTAAGCAACAGTGCAATACTATAATTTATATTTGAGAACTACATAATAATTTATTAATTTTAAAAAATTAAAATCATAAAAAATAAAATCTATGTAACAGAAAAATGAAGAGCATGACAAGTATAAGATAGAACCCATATATGAAATAATAAATAGAAAAGGAAAAGAATATGATTGATGGTTCATACAAATTTGAAGAAGAAAATATATAAAAACTTAGAACATATGACCAAATAAAATAGAAATGAAAACTAAAAATAATAATATAAATGTAAAAAATAAAAAAAGTTAAAATTCACTAAGCATGTAGAATTTTTTTATTATTTTTTATATGTATTAATTATTAAATTAAAAATTATTTTAAAAAGCCATTAAAAGAATATATTAAAAATTTTATATAATATAAAAAAATTTTAAAAAAATTTTTGGGTCCATATCTTAAGGAGGCTCTGCCCGAGTACTTAAACAAATCTCCACCGCTTCTCCATTACCAAAAAATTGTAGCAACAGGCTTCCAAATACTGATGTATGGATCCCACTGCTTTAATAATCCAAATCCCACTACTTCAGGCTTTTATATGAAATTCAAAAGCTAAAATTTTTTTTTAGCCTTACAATATAAGGTGT